GTTGATGAGATTCCAAATCCTAGTAGATTTCAACATTTATAAGGTCTATTTCAAGTTCCCTCTGATATCCAATATATTTTATTTTTTTTCCAATATATTTTATAACAAATCATAGGCTACAGTAAATTTTAAGCGACTCTTTAAAATGTTTTTTAAAAATTATTGATAATGATGCAAAAACGGGTCAGCAGCTAGGCTAACTCTTATTGACAAAGACAACTTTTATCTCAGATCCATTTCCCCAAGAATATGGTTCCAAAAAAATTTCAAATCACCACAGACTGTGGACTTCATTTGCCAATAGTCAGAATATACACATTTCAAAGGTTTCTGCAGAAAAACAACCATTTCCTGGAGGTCTTTCTATGTACACACTCAGAATGGTACTTAATGCTTACAAACATTCTCATTGACTTGGAGAACAGCCTCTGTAATTGTTGTGCTGTTCTCTCACAAATGGGGACCACAGGAATAAAAAGGTTAAGTAACTTGCTCAGTGTCACCCAGCTAATATATGGCAGTGGACTGCCAAACGAAGGACTCAGACTATAAAACCTATATGCCCTCAATTACCCACCGTCCTGGATCTCCTATACCTAAGAACAAAATAGCAAATCCTTCCACCCTAGAAAGGATTTACTACTCCCATTTTCAAGAAATGGAAAGAGCATTTACCTCTCCGTGACTGCAAAGTCAGTTTGAGGAGGGAAAACAGAACTCTCAAGCCCCTGGTTAGCAATCTGTCCACTAGTGCATCTTGTTCTTTGGCTCCAGATCTGCAATCATTCTAAAACAGAAATGCAAATAATTTTATGAACACTAAATATACATAAATGCATACATAATATGAAAAGCAAAATGAGGGCAAGATGAAAATGGAAAAAATTGGTTAAGAAACAATATATTAAAAAAAACAAACAAGGGCAGCCCCGGTGGCACAGCGGTTTAGCACCGCCTGCAGCCCAGGGCGTGATCCTGGAGACCCGGGATCGAGTCCCACGTCGGGCTCCTTGCATGGAGCCTGCTTCTCCCTCTGCCTGTGCCTTTGCCTCTCTCTCTCTAGCTGTGTCTCTATGAATAAATAAATAAAATCTTAAAAAAAAAATAAAATAAACAATATGTTTTAATACATCACATTACTAAATGAAGCATTCCATAAATTCTATCAAGCCAATGATAAAACACTTATTTTTTTTGACATTTGCTTAATATATAAATGACTAAAGATCTGTAATTATCAAAACCGTACCCCTGTGGGGTCCTGGCTGGCTCACTTTGTAGAGCATGTGACTTTTTTCTTTTTTAAGATTTTATTTATTTGAGGATCCCTGGGTGGCTCAGAGGTTTAGCACCTGCCTTTGGCCCGGGGGGGGGGGGGTGATCCTGGAGTCCCAAGATCAAGTCCCACATCAGGCTCCTTGCATGGAGCCTGCTTCTTCCTCTGCCTATGTCTCTGCCCCCCAACCCCCGTCTCTGTCTCTAATGAGTAAATAAATAAAATCTTAAAATAAATATATATATATATTTTATTTATTCATGAGAGACGCAGAGACACAGGCAGAGGGAGAAGCAGGCTCCATGCCAGAAGCCTAATGTGGGACTCAATCTTAGGACTCCAGGATCAAGTCTGAGCCAAAGGCATACACTCAACCTCAACCGCTGAACCACTCAGGCATCCCAAGCATGTGACTCTTGATCTCAAGGTTGTAGGTTGGAGCCCCAAGTTGGGCACAGAGAGAAATTAAAAAAAAAAAAAAAAAAAAAAAAAGTCTTAGGAACACCTGGGTGGCTTAGTGGTTGAGCGTCTGCCTTAGGCTCAGGGTATGATTCCCGAGGTCTTAGGATGGGAGTCCTGCTTCTCCCTCTGCCTGTGTCTGCCTCTCTCCCTGTCTCTCATGAATAAATAAAATCTTAAAATTAAAAAAAAATCTTAAAAAGAAAAAACCATTATGATCTTGCAAGCAAATACTGGCACATGTATATACATTCAAACTAACAAAAAGTAATTTTTTAAAAAGACTTTATTTATTCATGAGAGACAGAGACACAACACAGGCAGAAGGAGAAGCAGGCTCCCTGCAAGGAGCCGGATCCGGGACTCGATCCCGGATCCTGGGATCACGCCCTGAGCCAAAGGCAGAAGCTCAACTGCTGAGCCACCCAGGTGTCCCCCAAAATTAATTCTTATAGATATAATAATAGTCCTTTAGCATATACTTCCTTATCTTCAGCAAGTAGTAGCTTTACTGATTAAGTTAGTTTACATAAGACTGTATTTTTCAGTTTAATAACCATGGAGAGAGCTTTCATTGACTTGAAATTCCTAGAAGCACAGCAATGAAATACTTTGTTAGCTAACAATTTTCTCTCTAAATTACAAATAAATGAACTGTCAAGCTCAAGCTTCAGGCAACAGTAGAGTGGAACTTACTTCCAAAGGGGGAAAGAAAAACTCCCAAGTGAAATGAAAGTGCTAAATTTGAATTAAGAGTTTTCAAAGAATTTGACATATAAGGTACAACTACAAGAGAATCCATCTCATAATTAATTAAAGCTCATAAAACCAAGCTAATACTTTATTAGATGAAGCTAAAGAAAAATCTTCTCTGCTGAGAGGCAATTTACAACCTGAACTGATTAGTAATACCTAGTCCAAGAAACACTTTTGTATTGGAGTCCATATATTGTTACTAGCATGTCTCAAAAGAGGATGAGATTTTATATACCTCAACATTCTAAGAATGAGTAAAAACAACGATCAAGTATGGGAAAGTTGCTATTCTTGGTGTATGTAACAGGAGTCTATATACAACGTCCCATCTTTGAACTCAAATACTTATCACTAAGAAAACACACAGAGATACTGCCAGGAAGATTTGAAGATAGTGACTAAAATTTAGGGATGTTTAGAAAAAAATAATATGGCATGCCAAATCTACACATGCAATTGTGAATCAGGGTCTTCTAGGCTATACATTACTTGCCATTACTGTTCTTTCCAAACCTGTATGCTCTTTCTCAAAGTATTAAATTATGACAAATTTTAGTTGTTTGAAGAGGGACCTAATTTCTAGCAAAAGAGCTTGAAGTCATCTGGGACCAAGATAGGTAAATAAGGTAGACAGATAATCAATTAAACTTCTGGTTTAAAAAAATGAAATGGAAGCTATAAAGTAGATGAAGGGGAGTGAAGCGGATTCCAGCAGCATCCCTAAAGCAAAAAAAAAAGTCTCTAGAGGTGACTTTTTGTCAGAAGGCACCACTGTGCAAGGCTCTGCCCAGGACTTTTCCTTAAAGCTCTAGTCAGCCACAAGTGGCCTCTGAACTTCCAAAGAACTCCCTAAGCCACCCAAAGATGTCCCTCATCTTGTGTGTTGTTTTAAGCAAAATCCAAAAGCGCTTGCAATTGGAATGTATCTTAAGAATGACTTTTACAGGGACCCCTGGGTAGCGCAGCGGTTTGGCGCCTGCCTTTGGCCCAGGGCGCGATCCTGGAGACCCGGGATCGAATCCCACGTCAGGCTCCCGGTGCATGGAGCCTGCTTCTCCCTCTGCCTGTGTCTCTGCCTCTCTCTCTCTCTGTATGACTATCGTAAAAAAAATAAAATAAAATAAAAAAAGAATGACTTTTACAACTTCTAAATTTTCTTTCTTTGGTTAAACAGACCCCCTAAGGATGACTTTTACAATTCCTATTAAATAATCAGTATTTTCCTAAGTGGGCAAACATTCCTGTTGTAATCTTCCTCTGTTACTGACTTAAGTAATAAGTTCCTTTGGGTAACCTCATATCCTCAATTTATTCTCTGTAGATTTCATCTTCCAATAAAAATAAAGTATGAATCCTAGCATACAGAAAACCTCAAAGTATAGCAACTCTGTGGACAAAGTCTATACCATTAAAAAAGCATAAATAATATGGAAGACCAAGAAGCTGATGACTTGTATAGGGCAGAAATGAATTGAATAAAGAAACAAAACATGGCCTGTGGAACACAAAAATAACCAGGGAAAACAATTACTCCTGAATCAATTACAGAACTTCTGGATTTTAATTTTTAACCCATACGGAGCTTATTTTTATAAGTAAAACAGACTACCTGCCATCCACAATATTAGAAGGAAAATTTTTAAAAAAATCTCAAGAATGCAAAGAATTACACAAAAGGACTTACGACAATTAAGCATGGTTCTATTCCAAAACCTGACAATCAACACTACTGCATTTGTTAGTGCAATTTTAGTTTTACTGTAGAGGAGGGAGAGAAGGAACATTTTTTGTAAGGTTCAAAAAAAGGATGCTGAAAGACTCTCCTATAGAGGCATATTCCTGCAAAATCCTACAGATTGAGATTACACACAGCAGATGCAACAACTTTGCTTAGCACCAGCCTGTTTTAATTTCCTCATAAGCTTAACATAGCTTATCATAAAAAAAAGAAGTTAATCAAGATCTTCCTCTCTCCAAAGCACCCCCAGTTGATGCAGCAACGGCTGCACGATACTATATTAAAGTACTAGAGTATCTGAGGAAAATAAAAAGAGAAAACTATGGCAATTCAACAGGAAGCTTTTTAACGATTCAAGAAAACAGTTAAGGACAATAAATTTAATATACATGCCCCGTTTTAACTTCTTTTGCCGCCTATAGGGAACGTAGATTTTTAACTTTCCTAGTTGATCTAAACTCAAAGCATGAAGACTACGTACGTATGCGAATGTTTACTTAATGCTCAACTCTGGGCTACAGGAAGTCAGCTACTAAAGAGTAGTTACATTAGGCGTAGATATTTATAAACCAACTGCAGCTAGTGACCCAGGATTCAATTACAACATCAACCCTCATATTTCAGCGTATGGGCAAATTACCAGTGGAGTCAAGAATAAATTCATTCTGCCCTACTGGCGCTTTAGATCGGGTTGCACAATTCCGGGGCAGAATTGCCTTCGCCTAGCTCTAAAGCATCAGGTACTAAATACTGTACTAAGTTAGCGTCAGGACATTTTAACGCGGGAGGGAAACTCAAGGATCGCCTGAACCAACTGAGCCAGCCCATAATCCCGAATTCAGGAATTTGTCACGTCACTTGACCTCAGAATGAAATTAAATTTTGATCCCTTTGAGATCTCTTAACGCACAAAGTCAGGCTATCACTACGAGGGGTGTCCCGACCGCGACTGTAGAAAAACTAGTTGGTGCGGAACTCGAGTCTCTTCCGCCCACCATGGGGGGCCGCACCCGTCAGGTCCAGCGAGGAGCCGGGGCGCGAGTTTGGGGGCGCAGCCCGGCCCGGCGGGGGCGGCGAGCGCGCGTCCCCCCGCCCGCTCAGGCAGCGTCGAGGCGCGAGCAGCTCAGCCAGCCTTGCAGAGGGAGCTCTCGGCAGCTCTGGGGTCCCTCTGCTCGCAGCCGCAGCAGCGCCGCCTGCGCCACTCGGCGGAGACGGAGACCAGCGGCGGCGGCGCGCGGACCGGGAGCGACCGCCGAGCAGCCGGGCGGCAGCGGTACGCTCGCAGAGCGGCCGGGTAGGTTCCGGGGACCGGGCAGGCTGGAGGAGGGGCAGCCCGAGAGGCGTCGGCCAAGGCCCGACACCCATACTACACCGAAACCGGACCGCGCGCGCGGCGGCAGTGGGTCGGGACCCCGGAGCAAGGCGCGGGAGTCGGGACCCAGGGATCGCCTTTCGGCTGAGGCCACCCGCCGCGGGAGGGGCGGAGGGCAGAGGGCGGGCCACGGCCGGGCAATCAGCCGGGCCAAGAGCCGGCCTCGAGGGCAGAGACAAAGGAAGGAAAATGGAGTCGCCGGCGCGCGGGCCTCTGTTGCCGCCGCTGCCGCCGGAGGCCTAGCGCGCCGCCAGGAGGGAGGCCTAGCGGGCGGGTGTTGGCGCGGGGGGGGGCGGCCGGGCCGCGACGGCGACGGGCAATGGCGGCGGCCGCGCCGCAGCAGGGACGGTAGAGGGAGACAAACACCCCCCGGCGGCGGCGCTGGCGCCGGGCTGCAGCCAGCGCCGACCGGAGCGGCCCCATCGTGACACCTAGAGGCGGCCCGCGAAACCTCCTCCACCCCGGGCCCCCTTACCTCCGCGCCACACCCCCTGCAGCGCCCGCTCCGCCGCCGCTCCACCGCTCCGGCCACCCGGCGTCCCCGGCCAGCTCCGCGCACCCGCACCGGCTACCGCCACCGCCGCTGCCGCCAAAGAAGCAGCTCCGCGCACGGTTTAATCGCTCCACAGGCTCGGACACAAAATGGCGGCGGCGCGGTGCAGTGCGCCTGCGTCGGCGCTGCCGGGGCCGCGGGTGCTGATAAGGGAAGGGACGGGTGGGGGGGCAGGCCGGGCGACGAGAGGAGGGCGGGGGAGGAAAGGTGAGGGGAGGGGTTGGCGCAGGGCAGCATGGGAGGCGGCCCCGGGCGCCAACTTTCAAAAGCGGGCGCGATGGCGTCACGGGGCGCGCCGCGAGTCGCGTCACGCCGCACGCGCCCTCCCGCGCCCTCGCCCGGTCGCGCGTGGGCTCTGCGGGCGCCGCGACGTCCGGGCTCCCGCTGGGTGGGGCTTCCTGGGCGGAGGCCGCTGCCTCTGGGCGGTGCAGGATCCCTGACTCGTCTGACCTGGTTCCCTAGCCGCAGTCTCCCTCCCTGAACGCGTAAAGGGGGGGTTAGAGGTGGGAGGGAGAGTGTTTGGAGGAAGCGCGCGCGGGGCGAGCCGGTGGGGTTGAGGCGGTTCTTGGGCCGGGCCCCGCCCAAGTCTCCGCCCTAGCTGGGCCGGACCCTCCTTCCCGGCGCCCCACCGCGGCCCGCCACCGCGTAAGGCGGGACTGGTCCCCGTGCACTCCCAGCTCCTGCGAGCGAGGGCTGGCCTTGCCCAGCGGCTAAAATTTAAGGGATCTTTCCGCCTCCTAAAGCCGGGTGCAAGGGAAGAGGGCATGGGCTTCCCCTTGGTGTCCCCAGGCTGCTTGAGCAAGAGAGGCCGACGGAAGACCAGACTTGATGCTTTTACACGACCATAGCAATCTTTTGCCAAAAGAACTTTACGATTCGGCTCGATACAATACTGTATTTTAAAAGTACATTTCTTGTCTTTACTGGAGAGCTGAGTTCTCAGTGGGCGGCGCCCTTCAGCCGCTCACGGTGCGGTCATCCCTCCCCCTCTCCAGGATGCACCTGCGGATTCCACCCAACCTGCGATGAAGCTCACCGACCGCAGACTGGAAGATGTTCTGACGACCCAGGGAGGAGAGCCTTTGGTACCTTGGCAATCTGACTCAGTACTGTGTTCTGAACTGTACCTTAGATGTCACGAATAACAAACAGACCTAGCATCAAGGAGACCCCTTCTCCATTCAGCTCCTTGTTCCATTATGAGAATGCCAGCCCAATATTGACAGATTTTCTGGGGGTTTTGTTGAAAAGGGGAATCCGAAATCTAGATTTTTGTAATTAAAATTTTTGGGTGTTCAGGTGTTAGCAACTAAGTCATATTTTTAAACTGCATGAGCTGATTAGACCAGATGTGTGGGCTGTCATTTGGAGGAAAAAGTAAAGAGAAGTTCAAGGCCAGACTCTAGACACTCCAGCATTTAGAAATAGGATAATGGAGAAGGAATCTGAAAGGAGGCAGTCAGGAAGGCAGAAAGAAATCCACAAGAATGAGCTCCTGGGTGGCTCAGTGGTTGAGCATCTGCCTTTGGCTCAGGTCGTGATCCCAAGGTCCTGGGATCAAGTCCCAAATTGGGCTTCCCATAGGGAGCCTGCTTCTCCCTCTGCCTATGTCTGTGCCTCTCTTTGTGTGTCTTTCATGAATAGATAAAAGATTTTTTAAATCCACAAGAATGTTGAATTTGGAATCCCAGGGCAGAGAAGGTTTCCAGGAGGGGGGAGGGGTCAATTGTGTCTAGGCTGCTGAGAGGTCAACTCGGGTCAGAGATACGCTGTTGGATTGGTCACCTTGGTATTCAGTGGAGAATATCATTGGTGAATTTGGCTTGATTCATGTTGGTAAATCAAGAGATGTGGACCTCACTAGAATGGGTTGAGAATGATTGGAAAAGTAAGGAAATAGAGACAGCACACATAGGCAACATGAGAAGTTTTGCTGTGAGGAGAGCAAAGAGATTTAGGGAGAACTGTGGAAAGATATGGAATCAAGTGAGGAGATGCTTTAAAACATAGGGTTCCAAATAAATAAATAAATAATAAATAAATAAATACATAAATAAAAATAAAACATAGGGTTCCAGAGATGCCTAGGTGGCTCAGCAGTTGAGCGTCTGCCTTCGCTCAGGGTGTGATCCCGGGGTTCTGGGATAAAGTCCCACATCAGGCTCCCTGCAGGGAGCCTGCTTCTCCCTCTGCCTATATATCTGCCTCTGTGTGTGTGTGTCTCTCTCTGTGTCTCTCGCAATAAATTAATAAAATATTTTTTAAAAAAATAAATAAATAAAACGTTGGGTTCTGGAGCATGTTTATGTGCCATTGGGAGTGATACAAGGGAGAGAAGTCTTGCCTGACCTATACAGGAGTAAAATCCATGAAAGGATATAAGAAAACCGGGAGCGTTGATCTTGGATAGGAATAGCATGCTTCTACTGTGATAATTAGGATAACATTTTTTTAAAGATTTTATTTGTTTATTCATGAGAAACAGAGAGAGAGAGAGAGGCAGAGACATAGGCAGAGGGAGAAGCAGGCTCCATGCAGAGAGCCTGAGGGACTGGATCCTGGGTCTCCAGGATCAGACCCTGGGCTGAAGGCGGCGCTAAACCACTGAGCGACCGGGGCTGTCCCTGATAATTAGGATAACAAAGGTGAAGATGAATGGAAATGCTGGTGAAAGGGGGAGCAAGCCTACAACTTTCTTAGCAGGACTGTGTTGGTAGCATTGGGGTACCCCTTTGAAATATGTGATCATGGGGACGCCTGGGTGGCTCAGCAGTTGAGCATCTGCCTTCAGCTCAGGGCGTGATCCTGGAATCCCTGGATGGAGTCCACGTTGGGCTCCCCATGAGGAGCCTGCTTCTCCCTCTGCCTATGTCTCTGCCTCTCTCTCTGTGTCTCATGGATAAATAAACCAAATCTTAAAAAAAAAAGAAAAAAATTGTGATCATGAATTTAAAGTGAAACCAATTGGCCCAGTATGTGTCTTTTTCCAGGAACATTCATGTGCTTGGGTACAGACATGCAGAAAAATGATAATCTGGTTTCTCAACACCAGGACCCAAGTTTTCTGGTTCCTAATTTCAAGTACTTGCCTTATTAGTCACGTAGCCAGTATTCTAGAAATGTGTGACTAGTTAAAAATTTACATGTGACCACTTTTTCTAGAAACCAAATGATCCTATTTGTCTCTTATGTATACCTGAAGACTCAAAAATAAAGAAAAGGCAAACTTTGAGGGAAATCATCAGGTACCTCTGGAATATTTGCATCTTGCATTTTCTTCACCCTTCCACCCCAGACACCTCTTGGTGTACCTGGGAACTATGTACTAGAAATAATAAGGCTGACTTGCACTTAAATTCTTAGTTTCTTTTTCCTTCTTGCACCTTTAATAATCTGATTAATAAACTTTCTGTAAGACTTTACCTCAAACCAGGCACCTGAGTGGCTCTGTCAGTTAAGCATTTTCTGGTCATGATCTCAGGGTCCTGCAAAGCAGCTGATTCCCTGCTCAGCAGGGAGCCTGCTTCTCCCGCTCTGTCTGCCAGACCCCACTACTTGTACTCTCTCTCTCTCTCAAATAAATAAATAAAATCTTTTTTTAAAAAAAACCTCAAACCTCAAACCATCTTCCTTATCTTTAAGAGTAAGCAATAAGAATATCTTTTGGGACACCTGGGTGGCTCAGCGGTTAAGTGCCTGCCTTCAGCTCAGGCAAGATCCTGGAGTCCCGGGATCGAGTCTCATGTCGGGCTCCCTGCATGCAGCCTGCTTCTCCCTCTCTGTGTCTCTCATGAATAAATAAATAAAATCTTTAAAAAAAGGAATATCTTCTAATGCTTTAATATGGGCAAATGTAAGTCAGTGTATTTAGAAGGAAAAAAAGTCTAGCTATATTAACAGTGATATTTGCAGCTGCTATGGTTTGAATATTTGTGTCCCTCTCAAAAATCATACTGAAATCCTAATGCTCAATGTGATGGTATTAGTAGGTGGAGCCTTTAGGAGGTGGTGGAACCATCATAAATGGGATAAATGCCTTGTAAAATGCAAGATCATAGAGATCCCTAGTTCCTTCCACCATGTTAAGGACACAGCCAGAAGGCAATGGCTATGAACCACAAAGAGAGCCTTCATCAGAATGCAACCATGTTGGTACCTTAATCTTGGAGTACCCAGCCTCCAGAACTGTAAGCAATAAATTTGTTGTTTATAAGCCACCGAGTCACTGGTATTTTGTTATAGCAGCCTGAACCAACTGAGACAACTATATTTATAACAACTGTACCAGGAGCGTCTGGCTGGCTCACTCAGTAGAGTGTGCAACCCTTGATCTCAGAGTTGTAAATTGGAGCCCCACATTGGGTGTAGAGATTACTTGAAAATAAAACCTTTAGGGGTACTTGGATGGCTCAGCTGGTTGGGCATCTGACTCTTGGTTTCTACTTAGGTGGTGATCTCATGGGTCCTGAGATTAAGCACAGCGTGGGGCTGTATGTTCAGCACTCAGCCAGGAGGTGGCTTAAAGATTCTCACTCTGCCCCTTCCCCTATGTGTGTGCACACATTCTCTCTCTCATAAATAAATCTTTTTAAAAAATAAAATCTTGGGATGTCTGGGTGGCTCAGTGGTTGAGCATCTGCCTTCGGCCCAGGGCATGATCCTGGAGTCCCGGGATCGAGTCCCACATCGGGCTCCCTGCATGGGGCCTGCTTCTCTCTCTGCCTATGTCTCTGCCTCTCTCTGTGTGTCTCTCATGAATAAATAAATAAAATCTTAAAAAAAAATAAAATCTTGGGCGCCTGGGTAGCTCAGTCAGGTAAGCACCTGCGTTGGCTCAGGTCATGATCCCATGGTCCTGGGATTGAGGCCCAACAGGGAGCCTCCTCCTCCCTCTGACTTGTGTTCTCCCTTGTTCTCTCATGTATTTTCTCTCTCTCTCAAATAAAATCTTTTAAAAATATTTTTTAAAAATAAAATCTAAAAAAACCTATGTCAATTACATGATTTCTGAGGCATGAATGAGAAACTTGGAGTAGGGTCCAAATGGCCTTGGAGTCTGCTTTCTGAAGACAAAGCTCCCAGGTGCTATTCTGACAAGGGCTGAGAAAATGCTGAGGATCACTAAAGGACCATAAACGTTTTCTTTTCCTTGTAGGAAACAGTGATATGTCCTACTTCATGGAATTGACTCCAAAGACCAAGAAATGAAGGGCCAAACGAAAAGGATAGGATGTTTTAGTCTGGACAGAAACAAGCTGAGAGGGGAAAGCAGTCTGACGAGTCTGTGAAACTGTTAGGATGATAAAAATAAGGGGGAAAAAAAAAGGACAGATTTGTTCCCTGTAGTACTACTCCAGACTACCTCACCAATGAGAACTGTGGTTATTTAAAACCACTTTGTGATCTAAGGAAGAATTCTTCCTGTGGACTCTCTTAGGTTTGTAGTCCATAGGAGTTCAGGGCATCATCGGCTGACACTGTCAGCTTACCACATGGCATTAGTGAAGTCACCACGTTCCAGAATCTGGTCATCAGCCTCACAAGCAGGATCAAAAATATACCTATCAGAAGAGTGTATTCCTTCCTTAGGCACTTGTCCAGTTCACAGGAGCTGGATGGGTAAGCAGAGTGCTGCTTTACTAACTGGCAGGTGGACCAGTATCCTTATGCTGGCAAAAGGCATGTTCTTTCCCTGTAGGAGAGCCTCCTGGGAAGCCAAATTACTAGAAAAAAGCTTGGTGAGCAGGTAATTAGATTAAGAGATGTAAATTATATAACAAACATTTAATATCACCCTTTCTGGATGCTAGAGTCAGATTGTCCAGCATTTGAATCTTATCTTGGCTCCTTATAAGTTGTGTGATCTTGAATTATAACAACTGCAGATTTCTTCTCTATAAGATATGATGATAATTGTACTTCACACAGTGGCAAGGATTAAACAAGGAAATGCTAGTAAAGCTCTTGGCAGAGTTCTAGACACTACTAATTGTACCAAAAAAGGTAAACTATTATTATTTTATTTTTATGCTTCTTGTTACCTACCTTCACTCCCAAATCCTCCTTCTGGTGGACATAGTCTTTC